TCCGCCGACGGCTATATTGTATTATTAATATTTTCGATGGAGTGTATTGAATCATTCATGTTTGTTTTGGTGATAAATATTGTTGTACATATCATGATATACATAATATTCCGAGTATAATGCGTTGTATGTGAACCAATAATTATTTTATAGTTCGTCAGTTCGTCTAAAAGGTTTTAAAACAATATTAGTAATACCTACATATTATTATAATGCTTTGCCAAGAACGCAATTATATGGAGACATTCGTACATTATTATGTTATAGGATATTATAAATTCGGCTAAAATACGGTATTTTTTGGCCGTTGCATGTTTTGAATAATACGATTTGTTAAAAAAAAATCGTACCTATACCTACCTATATTATACAGTCAAAAATTCTAAATATATTAATTTTTTTCGTTTGTTGTTCCGCTATCCGAAAATTAAACCTCGATTAAAATATATTGTTAGGTTATATTAATATTAAATATTTTGTACTCGGACTCTGTAAATGAACCACTTACAAGTTAAAACCGTTTAAAACTAGGTAAACGCATGGTACAAAATGTCGGCCGTAAAAGACCGGGTAAATTCACTGGTGACGCCGGGGGTTATTCTTTTTTTTCGTACCGGTCACTTTGGGTCTTTGGGCCCGTTTTTCCGACGGTTATAATAATCGATACAATATTGTTTTTCCTGTTTATTTCATTTGTAAAACCGCGATCCCGGGGAGTCGTACAGATGGGCAATATTGTACGAATGTCCGTCGGGTTTTCTCGGTCGTTCGGCCGGCCACACACGGCGGGGTCCCGAGAGTATACTTTGACAAACGTCTTTGGACTTTGGAGTCGTGGTACGTATAAATATTATACTATAGTTTCGTATTGGTGTACTGAAAATTTATTTCAAACGGTGTAAACGATAAACGATAGATTAATATTATGACGTGACCCTCAAGCTTTTCGAGGGAGTAATCTGGACGTATCGATACGTATATCGGCTCAAAATCGATACTTCAAAAATAGTGGACATGAGCATGTGACTCAAAAATTGACACTGTATATTTTTGTTAGTTTGAAATAAAATATTATTATTATTTTAATTAACTATAATTTTGTCCATAACCCATCATATTATTATAGCCATTATAGTTATTTATATTAATAGTATCTACTCACTACTATAAGTTTTTTTTTTTTTTTTTTTTTTTTTTTTTATTAAAATATAATTACAATCTATACAAAATTTAGTACAATAAGTAATATTGATATAGTATTTACATAATAACGTGAATGACAGATGGGGGAGGGACTACTATAAGTTACTACCAATAAATTCTTGAATTTTGATAAAATATATACAAAAATCTAAAATGTGTAAAACAAACTTTATTTAAAATGTAAAATATTAAATCGTTACATCTATCACCCCACCAAGCCCCCCATCGCCGTTTGCTAGTATTTAAAATACTTCTCAAATAATTTTTGACAAAACGTGTATTTTAAATACTTTAAAAATACTCTTTCTTTATATTTTATTCTAGAATATCAAATACTTTTTTTCTTTTTACCGTTGAATTTTAACGACCAAATTTTTAATTGTTATTAATTTATTTTGTTTTTTTTTATAATTTTTTTTGTTTCGTATATTTTTACTATTTTAAATAATATTTTATAGTGCTTCTAAGAATTTATAAGATTTCAACAAATACGCACTTAACACAATAGCTATAAAATGTATACTATCTACCTAGCTAAAGTTAAACTGGACCTGATGAAAATATAATAGGTATCACATCTGAAATTCTTGAGCTAATAAAAGAATCTATTTATTAATTATTTAATTTAAATATTTATTAATAACTTTAAGTATAATATATTCGTGATAAACGTACAAATATTTTCATATACAAAAAAAGTAATAGTTAAGTCGTATTTTGAATAATTTAAAAATTTCAAAGACAGTATTCGAATACGTATTTTAATAAATACAAATGATGCCAGTATATTAAATATGTATTCTAAATACATTTGAAAAGTATTCATAAGAAGATTACTCCCTCCCCCTTTGTATCTGCCACTGCTAATTTATACGTATTGCATATTTTCTTCGCAAATCTTAAATACCTATCCAAATCAATTATTCGTCGTAGTGGACCATTGATTTTGTGAACCAAATGAGTCAGAAAAATAATATCATTTTGAGAAAATGGTGTACACTCGATTGCCTATCTCACTGCCGTAATCTCGTGTCGTCATCTGTTACGAATTAAGTTATGGTTTCGTTTCCGATTGAAAATTTGAAACGCGATTTCGAGGGTCGGTGATTTTGTTCACACCTGTCGTCACCCATGACGAGGTCCACCGATCACTATACATCGGGTATCTGTAGGACGTTTATCTCCGGTCTGAATCCCGATACACAATTTGTTATATTCATCAGTCAAAAATTACGTTTCACTGTAATTCCATGCTCAAAAAGGTATAGGTAGAAAAAAATTACCAGGACCTACATCTGACTTTGGCACGCCACTTCTTCTAACTATAGAATATTAGCATACCGACATTTTAATGGTCAATCCAAAGTCATTATTGGACTAGTTATCGCAACAATTATTTTCAACTACTTTGAAGAAATCTAAATATAAATTGTACCACGGAAACCTCACTTATTGATTATATTTTAAAATATAGTTCCTAAAATATAGGTACCTATCATTATTAATAAGCTTGGATTTTGTATTTTCAGTTTTGCAATAAAAACGACGAGTTTGGTAAAAATAAAACAAAACAAATTAAAAATTCTAATTACTTATAGATCTGTCTATCAAGTTGAAATTATTTCTACGTATAAATAATAAATGTATATAATACAATAATATGCTTAATAATTATACTATAAATTAAAAATAACTGGTGACAATGAGAAGTCTCCTGGGTATTATTTTATAAACTACGGGTTTGTTAAAAATGGGTAGATTGCCGAATAAATGACACAATTTTTTTCGCAATTTGTTTATAGTTTTATCCTTACGGAGACTACCTACTGCAGTTAAAGTCGAAAAATAACCTCTATAAAGTACCAGCCAGATGACGTTTTCTATCTAAAAAGTTTCTACGTAAAACTTTTAGAACACTCCTTTTTCCCTAAACCAGTGGTTATAAAGGTAGGTAGGTATATAAAAAAATAAAAACTCATTTTTGTAAAACCTACTGCAGGTAATCACATTGTTCGAGATGGGTTCACGTTTGTATCGTAACATAGGTATATATATTGTAAAAAATAAAACTATCATTTTACTTTTAAGTTTTAACTGGGAATTTCAATAATGTCATAAATTGAACGCATAGCCTTTCCTAAAGTTTTACAATGGTTTTATGATACAATAAAATATTATGTACAGAATGATTAATCGAACATGATCACCCTATTTTTTTCATTTAATAATGAGTTAAATCAAATTCTAATTTTTGGAATTTTTAAATATACTTAGGAACTATATTTTCAAATCTTTATATTTCTTATATGATTTAAGAAGTCCTGTTGTAAAATGAACTTTATTTTTAAATGACAACCATTCTTATTTATTGTACACTGAAAGATGAGTTTTTAGAAAATATTTATTTATATAAATCAAAGTTTCAACGAGTAGTTTCTGAGTTATTAAAACTTATGCACTGAGAATAATATCGTCTATACTCCATAATAACAGGTTTAGAAGATGTCGGGGCTATGATGATTTGAAAATGTATATTATTACCTTTTTTTTTTTTTTTAACATTTATTTGAATATATACAATCTGTAATATATTCACAATGAACATATGAGATGGAATAGATTGACTTTGACGGCGTGAGGGGAGTAGCTATACCCAGCATAGTAACACTCGACATATGTTATTACCTAAGTAATATTAATGCATTACAATTTTATAATTTGTTAAAAAATTCGAAGTATACTTAATACGATTTTAACTAAGTATAACATATATTTTATCTTGAGTAAATAAAGTTAAATAACTAAAAACCACTCTTTTCGTTTTCGTTTTAGATGCGTCAAAGTTTTTAAAAACATCATCCAAATAAATATAGGTATTAGGTACAGTATAAAAGGATGGTTCTCATTAAACAAATTGTTGTATCGCCATGATGGCTGTTACAAGTACTCCTATAGATGGTAACAGTGGCGTATCCAGGGAAGGGGCTGAGGGGACTGCAGCCCCCACCGAAATGTTAAGAAAATTAAAAAAATATTTTAATGGTCTATGATAGTCGCTCAAAAAGTCTTAAATTGTATTTAAAATATTTAAAAATGTACTATAAGTATTAACACTTTTCAGCTATCTATATGTGCTAGTACGTATTTAATGAGTAAAAATGTAAAAGTTGATAAGCCCTGGGCACGCCACTGGATGGTAAACAATTTAAGTAGTTGAAAATATAATATTTATTTATTCTTAAAAATCAGAATTCAAACAAACTATCAATGCATTACCAAATAATACATAATAATAATGATAGTAATAATGGTAATAAATCTGTATTAATATTGATAATTTTGTAAAATGTAATCGATGGTATTATATTGTACGTTTGTACCTATCAGTATAAAGTTTTTAATATTTGTTTTTGTTTTTTTATTTGATAGGAATATTATTTAAATTAATCCGAATGAGGAATAATTAAAGTATATAATAAATAAGCTGACACATATTTGTATTTATGAATGTATTATTTTATTGGCATATTTTTAGCCAAATAAAAAAAATGTAGGTACCTATATTATTATGTAATATATACTATTAAACTTATAACAAATAGTTTTTTAAAAATAATTCAAGTGCAACAAACTAATAAGTAAATGTTTGTAAAAAAAATATATTTACCTGCTACTATAATTAATATTAATTTTTAATACAACAATATTTTATTTAATATAATAAGTATACGCCGAGTAGGCAAATACGATGGCATTAATGTATAAAATATAAATAGACCTCTATCTACTATATATTATTATAAAACAAGTATTCCGGTGGTTTGATTCAATTCCGTGGTGTTTTCCGTATTCACTTTGTTTACGTATGCTACGTTTTCGGTGGTAGTGACGGTCGTACTTTGTGGTTCCTTATTGGTGGTGGTAGTGTCTTCTTTTGTTATGGCGTCTACGTGCTTGATTGTGGGTTTTCTAGATATTAGTTTTTTGCTCATTTTCTTCTCGTAATGCCTGACCGTCACAGTTTCATCAAAATCGCCCGCAGTACCACTGATTTCTTTGTCAGACCTGTCTTCAATAATACCACTGCCGCCTGGTAAGATTGGCTTAAAACCGCCCTCGACTACCACGGTGCTTGGGTTGAAACCGCCTTGTAATTGGTTTTGTTGTACATCGGTTTCTTGTCTGCTCTGGATTGGTACGTAGCCAGTCATCTGTTGAGATTTCGGGTGTTTGGACGAAGAATACGAAACCGAAACGGACTGTGACATCGAAGTGCTGGGTTGCTGTTGCTGTTGCTGATAGAACATAGGTTTCTGCTGCTGATGGAACATAGGCTGCTGAAGCTGTGGCTGGGTGAGTGGTTGCTGCTGTTGCTGGATGAGCGGTTGATGTTGCTGTTGGAAATTGCCGGGGTAGGCTGAGAGCATTGGCTGAGAAACGGGGGGCACAGGACTGTAGTGGCTTACCAAAGGTAATGGTGATTGTGTGTTAAACTTGTAAACTGGTTTCTTGTACACGACAGAGTGATGAGCACCGTTCGGCATGGGCCCATTTGGTGGTAATCTCTTACCCGATACCCGGTAACCGTGTTTTACAGCGACCGGCTGCTGAGGGGTGAACACCATTTGTGCGGGACGATGGTCTGAGAGAATATTGGGTTGCGCTTGGAAATGTGTAATGACCGGTTGTCTTATGGGTCTATAGTTATTATTGTTAATATTGTATGCCGGTAACATGTAATTATAAGTAGAAGACGTCACAGGTTGCGGACTGCCGTAGTGAGCTTTCGGCATATAAAACGGCACGTTCCCATATGTATAATTTGAGTTTGGATATGTGTATAGAGTGTTTTGTTGTGACGCGGCTGTCGGGAATTTGTAGTTATTGTAAACAAATTGATCTCGATTAGTTGAAGACTTATAAAAATCGGATTTAAGGTTTTCTTCCAATGCGGTGGGAATTAATGGCATATTATGCCCTTTGTGATCTGACTGTAGGTCGATGTAATTTCTTAAAGGTTCGTTGCTGTTATAAAACTGTTTATTTTCCACGTCTGGTTTCACTCTCGTTGTGTACTGAATACTACCCCTAGACTGTAAATCTTCCGAAAGAGGCGCCGCAGGCTCAGAGCTAGGCTGTTCTTTATCACATGCATCCAATACGTTAATTTTCCAACCCAAGTGACGATGCGTGAAACACTAAAAAAAATAAATAACATTAAAATTAGTGATGTTTTTAAATAATTTGATAATCTTTTTAATTATACTAAAACAATTAATAAACATATTTAAAAAATTTAAATAAATCTATTTATTTATTAAAAAGAAAATTATTATAAGCTATACCTATTTTTAATAAATAAAAATTAATAACTATTAAAATTGTTTTAAAATATTTTGTTAATTTACTGAATGTGGTTTTTTAGTAAAATTACAGAGTTATTAGTGATTTTTACATTTTAAAATAATAGGTCATTACCTGGTAGTAAACTGTGTCTGGTGTATCTGCATCTGGAGTCCATTGTACTATTCCGGGATCTCCGTTATCACATGCCAGGCTCAGAGTTCTTTGATAAGCACCAAAGGAAACAAATTCATCAGCAGAAGGCTGTTGTGGATCTGGAGTCCAATTGCACAAACGACCAGTACCAGTTGGGATTACTTCTCCTGATTTGCTAACGCTAACACCAGCAAATATTCGAATGTTCTGTCAAGTAAAAGGTAAAATTCATGAAAATATTAACCATGAATACTGTTCTTATATCAAGTGTAAATATTTAAATAGAATAATATTATCATGCGTAGATTTAAAAATAATTACATCTCTTTCTTGGGGTGTTTTGTAGCCATATCCACCAACAGGATCATCAGTGATGTAAAATGGATGGTATTTCGCTGGTATTTCTGTGTCTAATCCTCCTTCAACTACAAATGTGTATGTTTGTCCTCTAACAACGTTTATTTCTGGTATGAGTAATCCGTTTATGTACCATGAAATTCCCCATCCAACGTGTCCTACAAAAACGAAATAAAACGTTACACACTTATATAGGTAAGTACCAGTGTAGTTTCATTTATGTATTTTTTGTATTTTTATTTAAATCATAATTAATTATTGACCTGTAATAGCAGAATAACCGTGTTTTCCTCCTGTGGGACCCATTTGAGCGTAGAAAACACCATCGTCTGGTTCATAACATTGAATTGCTGGGATATCCCATGCAACGTTTTTTTCTACTGGGGCGGGTTTGGGAACCGGACGAGGTCGAATTTTCTTAGTAGGCGTCACCTGAAAAATATATATTCGTATACAATAAGCTTAGCGTGGAATAGAATTCATGAAAAAAATTGTATTAACCTCTTTTAATGAACTTTGGCTGGTCGTAGTTATATCTGTTGTACTTTGTACGGTTGTGACTTCGTTATGAACTGCAACTGATTTAGCATCTGTATCTGGTATAGGGCAGTTCCATTCTGGTAAACGGCCAAAATCAATTTTTATCGTTTCTATAATAAATACCATTACGTAAAAATTAGTATAAAATTATTGTCCATGATGTACTTATAAGTTATAATTTTTAGCATGAAAATAAATTATATATAAAAATAAGTCAAAGATGATCATTTTGTTGTTCTTTCAAGTATTAGATAATATAATTATCACCTATTGTGTACATATTTTGAGTAACTTTAATATGTATATATTTGTAACTGCACATGACAAACAGTTCTTAAAATATTAAAATTGTGATAGCCAAAAGCAAAATAAGAATAATATCGTATCGTAAAAAATAAAAATAAAAGGGTCCCTTAGACTTAAGTATAAATTCAAACTTATAGTACTAAGAACGTATGGAATGTAAGCCTAGAAGTTATGACGTTTTTAGGGTGCTTTTGGGGCATAATACCCTGACGTATTATATAATATTATTTTATGAATTCAGTTGTTTCAGCCTATATGGTACTAGGATTTTAAAAATAAACACAGATTTCCGTATTGAGACAGTAATATTATGTATTAAATCAATTATTAAACATTTTTTTTTGTAAGAATTTATATGGTCATGTAAAATGGATGTATTTAATTTGTTAGAGACTACAATAATATTATAATGTTATACGTAAGATATATGGTACAGTGACTGTGTTAATCTCGGCGTGTATCCTTTGTATGCACATAACAATAGAAATACGGTTATTGAATGTGTTTGATGTCAATGTATGAATATGATTCTCCATGTATAAATTAATATAAATATAGATAGGTACACAATACACAATAAAGTTCATTGGGCATGAATGTATTATATTCACCGGCACATGCCTACTTATAATATGATTATAACTTACCTATAACGTAACTAATATAATACTTATATAAGATAATATAATGTTACTAATAAGTAAATACCTTTGGAGAACATCGGATGATATGAAACCTCGTGTTTGTCATTCAAAGGACCGACTGCCCAAATTATTGGCTGGCTGTTATTAGTCAATATGGGTAAGTCAAGATTATCTTTTGACTTTAATGGTCTCTGGTATGTGACTATCGAATATCCATTGACTATTGCCGCATTCAACAAACGAACACTTTCACCGGCCGGTCCCTAACAAATATAATTTATTTAAATTTCCTATCGTTTTTAAATCTTTGTGCCATAATAATATTATTGTATCCGCATGGTTGTTTTTTTAACATTAAAAACGTATTAAAAATTATTTATATATTTCTTGCTTAAAAATCACTTGAAATAATGAACTATTAAAAAAAAATATATTTAACTATTTTATTGTTGTATGGCATAATATATCTCATAATATATAACTCTGATCATTAAAATCAGAAAAATATAAATCAGAGAGATTAATGTAAATTTATCTTAAAAAAACTTAATTAATGTTATAATTGTAATTAATAATTTAAACCACACTCACACAAACTAAATGTGTTATATACATTATTATACTAATGGAGTTAAATAAAACAACGTCATCTCTAGAATGCATAAAGTGTAAATCGTGTTGAATTTGGTATGAATTGTTAATCGAATGAAAATGTGTATACCTGAATATTTGAATCGGGACAACTGCCACTGACTTGTCCAGTATCTTGCTGTACAATACACTGTGATTTATCCAGTAAGTAATAATCTTGAGCAAAACCACTAATTGTGGTTTGATCTACTCCGGCTACAACTACGTCACCTCCAACCATGCGATTTGATGTAGGTGAGCCAGATATACCGAAAGACATGTATTGGTTGTCTTCTAAAAATCAACGGTATATTTTCAATTTTTATATAATGTATTATATATATATTATAATGTTTAATAAAATAAAAAAAGTTTTTTATAATATCTTAATGGTATTATATTGAAGACTTTAGTTGTATTAATGTATGTATCTTTTTAGTTCATAAATTTATCATTTACAAAAATATATTAGCATTTAGCAACTACCTAAAGTGTGTACAGTTTCATTAAATTGTATTATTATGATTACTGATTACCAAGTATATAATATTATATATAACTAACTAAGAACTAACTTATAGTTAATCGCAAAGTAAGACTTAATGGAATTGATTTTTTTCATCAAACATATTAGTACCTATATAATCAAGATCAATGTTAATTTATGTTTTAATTAAATTAAATCTATAGAAACGGTGCACTTTTAGGTACTTTATATTTTACAATAATGACTTTTATTAACAAATTTTACTTTCATTTAAAATGAGATTTCATAATAAATGTCTTAGAATAATTTTTAATAACTTAAGGTAGGTACTAAAAATAAATTATAAAAATAAACTATTATTCAAGTTCTGCTGAATTTACTTATAATAATTAATAATTGCCTAATAAATAAATAAAAACCGGGTACGTTATACGAGAATAGTAAATCAAGTTTGAAATCTGCAAATTTGATTATGTATAGTAGTTTGGGAAGAAAAGTGTGAGAAATATTGTTGATTAAAGCAATAATAATAATTCGTGATATGTCAAGATTATGTAAGGTAAAAACTAAAAAGTAATAACTAACAAACGATACATTTAGTATTGAAAAGCGTGACGAGAAATATTTAAGAACAGTTTTAATTTACTGTAACTAGTTTTGTGTATAACCTTTAGGCTTTAATATAATGCAGATTATATAGATAAAATTAGATATATATTTTTTGAAATTTCTGTCGAAAACAAGATTAGTTATTGTATTATTAAGATTGACGATATTTTGCATATTTTGTATGAAATGTTATTTCTTTTGTAACTATACAGTAAATTGTTCAAACACTTTAAACTGTTAAATTAAATGCATTCACTTATATAATTATTACAATATTAAAACTCATTGTTATGTGCATTTTAAAAATGTCAACACAATTTATAATCGTTCAGCTTATTTATTTGATGACGTGAAGTGAACCAACGGGTCTCTTTCTCCTTTAATTTATTTTATCACTTGACTTATATGCAGTTATACACCGCAACATATGTACACTGTGGAGATTTGTATAATTCTCTTGCAAAAAAAAAATATCTTAAAAATGTAAAAGTTATTATGAAATTGCAGAGCTTGTAATACACGTACATAATAAAATCGTGTATTTTTTTATTTTAATACAAATTAATGATAGAATTTAATTTTAAACTAAGATTAAAATTAAAATTAAAACATAAAATATTTGTATTTTTTTTATTAGATACATAGCGTAATATTTTATATGCTTACCTAACTTAGCGACCAGTTGAACTACAATGCTGTCACCTGCTATTGCCCATCGTACTTCGTATCCTAAGGGTTCATGGAGTACTTCACAGTTTAATTTTGACTAAAACAAAATAACAAACATTGACAATATTTATAAACATAAGTTTACAATAACTAATATCGTTATATCTTAATCTATAATGAATTTAACAATAAATTGTATTGGTGATTGAAAGCTTAGCAATTATCAGGCCGGCGGGGGGTGGAACTGTACGGGGAACATGTAAAATAACATATAAATGATACACAGCGTCATCACCGTTACATCTTATAAATTTCAATCGCCAATATGAATCACACATTTTTATGATTAGGTATAAAATAGCACGGAATGTACCCCACGTCACTTCATGCAGATGTCTTTATTTCTATATCTATGTGATATATTACGATATGCCTATAATAAATTATGGTAATAAATATTTCTTGGATTAATTATATTACCTGGGAATTTTTTGTTTTTATTTTTTTGTCGAGTTGTATAAATGTATAATACACTGTTGATGTTAGTGATGGACGGAGCGTGTTTTAAAAGTGTACATATTTAATTTATAATTGCGTATATTATATTTGACGGATAACAATAATTATAGTACAATACGTTCTTGTATGATAAAATATGTAATATTATCTTAGAATTTTTTAACTATATAATAGCAGATGATATTTTGATAAAGGATAAGTATATTATAATTAATGTTTACTTATATATCGTAGTAATGTGTACATCTCGAGTTTTCAATAGACCAACCTGACTTATAATAGTTTTAGTTATGCAAAAAATATACAACATTTTACGACCGTAATAAAACTATAGAATTTAACTGTTTTCCGTCGATACACAATAGTTTGTAAGTGTTAGAAAAAATACCAAATTCAATTGATGAGTTTATTGGTCATGTGTTAATGTCTTTATTATGGCGTAATGGTTTAGAATTTGTTCGCAAAAAAAATTATGTTAATAATTTCTATATTTTTCGAGCAAAGGACTGCTAAACGACTGTCTTCAAAATTAGGTATAACATTAGTACAACAAGTTTACAAGACATCTGTGTGGATACTGTTCATAAGACATTCATTTTTTGAAACCGTTCCCCTCTTGATGTAATTTTTTTTTCTTATTATTACTCATACAATATTTATAATTGAATACAATCGCAAAAAGGAGCATTAAATAAATATAAAAATAACGTTTATTGACCGAGTATAGAAACCAGGAAAAAGGCAACTGCAAAGAAACTTTAGTGGTGCATAAACTAATTTGTGTTTGTTGGTATCTTTTAGATTAAATGTTGACTCGAATAAAAGCGAACTTTAAATAATCATCTTTCCTTTGCTGCGTAAAAGTTATAAATACTACAAAACGACTTCAAATACATTTCATATTTTTACACAACTCTTAAGGCGAAATAAATGAATCAAGTATTCTACAAGTATGCGAATAGCGAATTTTAAATCGTCAGACGGTGGTAATGAGTAAACAATTTTTAAAGTACGTAGGCATAGGTATATACAGGCTGTCTATCTGCAGTTCATCTAGAGCGAACGGGTAATTTAATTGAATTATCCATTTGTATTCCAAACACTGTGGGCTGTAGGAATCGAAAGAATTGTTATCTGTATACTCTTTTTGAATTATACCGACCTCCATATAATGTATAATGATTAATATTGTGTGTACGTCGGACGAGAAGTAACTACAAGTATATAGAGATTATAAGGAGCAATAATGATTATTGCCTTTCTTCTACATGCTAGTTAAAACCATCGTAGTTTATCTAGCTTAATAATGGGTGGATGCTTAAAGAGAAACACTGTAAAGAAAGTATGATGTATATATATGTACACACATTTTGATAGATTACTCTAAATTGTTAGCGGCCCTTGTAATTGGACACTCGAGCTGTGTGGAAAAAGCACAAAATCAGAGTACAAAAATAGAGAAGGAGAAAGAGAGAGAAATATAAGAGAGCTTGCAGCGAATATGGCTTGCAGGAATGGATTGGAATGCAAGCTTGCTAGTCATCGACAGACCTGTCAAAATTTAAAAACGAATTTGTTGCCGTCGCGGAGCGAGTATAATATAATAATATTATGTACCTACTAAACATAATATATAGGCGTAGATATCATTTGTTATAATATATTATTTTTGACGCGGAGGTATTTTTATTTCGTTTTATCGAATGCGTTCATTATAATATTATTATACGCATCCCACGTTGGCGCGTGACGGCGGATAGTGAAGGTGTTTGATACTATATAGGTAGGTACGTTATATATTTTGTTTTCTCGCAAACAGCGTAATGTTCTCTCTGCGGGTCGTCCACGCAGTGTTGTGCAACACATACCATAAAATAGTTTAGGTATACACATACCGACAACAATGTAGCGAGTAATAACTAATAATATTAATAATAATAATAAAATGCAGTTCGTTCGGATAGAAGTTTGAATACAGCTTGATTGCCGTTTCGAAAACATCGTATACCTGTCCACCATTGCATGGTCAGTCATGACATGTTCTTATATCGGTTGCCAGACGAATGAGAATCCGTCGTTATAGCAAACGGATGAGTTGCGTGGGTGCAGATAATATATTATGCCTTATTAAATTTCAGAGGAGATTGATATTCATTACTCACTATCGTCACTACTTTAGGTGGCAAAAAAAGCACGACCCAGGAGGTTCTAGATGAGTTTGCGCAAAATGTTATGGCACTCCCTTGGACAATGTTTCATTCGTGAGGTAAAAATGTGTTCCTAACCTGCAATACAGCAGACATCAAGAGTCGAAATTCACCAAACTTAAAATCGTCTACGTATCCAAACGGCATACACCCTTCGCCTCGAAACGCGTTTCGAAAATATTTGTCATTTTATCGTACGAGTTGTTATTTCAGTTAGCTAGCCAACTGTTGTTGCAACTGCAGGTGGAAGTGCAGCTGCAGTTGTCAATGTCACTCTTCAAAGAAAATCTGTACGAAATGCTGGGTTGTGTCTTCATCCGAGACGATATTATAAACACCACTGATAATAATAATAATTATTCGTATGGGGATTTGTCTGTATGCACATTTATCTGGATGACAGAGATTGTACATAAGTAGTGATGGAAAACTGCATGCAGACTTCGAATTAAGTAAGTAGTACTTGGTATTTATAATCAATTATATTACTGTAGTTATCATCGCAGAGTGTCTGTACCTTGAAATGATATAGTAGAAAATTATTATTGGTTGCGTGCAGACGAGAAATAACCTTTAGCTCAATATTATTAAACTACAATGCTATTTATTTTCAGAGTTCATGTAAAAACGCGAAATGCTCACAGACTTCGAGCCTGGGCGTAACTAGGATTTAATATAATAGTTACTGCTGAGGGCAGGCGTGGACTGGTAAAAAAGATACGGGATGCTACACAGTTTCAAGTGCAAATAACAAAACATTTTGGGGCAAATTTATAACATGTATATTATCAATAAAATATTAATATATTTTATTTTATTTTGTTTTAAAAAAATATTAAATTTTTAATATACGTTTAAAACATAATTGATAAGTACCAAGTTACACCAAACTATTAATCAAAATTGTACAATATTATAGATCACTCATAATCGTAAGTTGGTAACGATCTGCTTTTCATTAGGTGTCTAGAGTCTTTAAATGTATAATCAATAATATTAGGCAAATATATTTTAGGGCAAGGGATGCTGTCCGCGTCTGGCTGGGCAAAGATTCCTGGGAAACCAAAGTTCAAAATAATCCGTTCATTGATGAGAAAAACCCACCCCGCACGCGTTTTTATGAAATGGTTTGGATTTTAACCAGGAGGGGCTAAAAATTCAAAAAAAAAAAAACGTTTAGGAGGCTAAGCATCGAGAGCCGATGGGTCGGCGAGTTGGCGTAAAAAGAAAGTGCGCGGAAAGGCCACACGCGTCTCAGAGCGTCGCCGAGACAATAGTTCACACGACGGACTGTAATAATAATAATAATAATAATTGGTTTCGCACAAAGGTCATACACGACGACGACCGCGCGCCGCGGCGTCGGTCGTATAACATTGCGTAATGCCGCGACGCATGGGGTTAGTCGGGCTCGCGTAGGAGTAGAGTGGCGGCGGGTGCGAAGAAGCGTCGGCTGCCGCCGCCGTCGTAACCGGTACGCTTGGCGCGTCGTCTCCGCGGTCGGTTTGGAAAACAATTCGTGCGCGACGGAAATCGAGAGAAGAAGAAGAAGAAGACTCGTTGCGTAATGAAAGAAACACATTACAATATTATATTTTATTATTGTTGTCGCCGGTTTCTTCTTCTTCTCGGCGCGCCGAACGATCATAATAACAACTTACTATACGGACAATATAGCCGTACCCCGCACGGAGGCGTACAACAACAACGGTTCTAGGCGTTATTGTATTAGAATAATAATAATATTATATTAATTTACCCTCGTTGCATATTATATCGTTTAATCGTTATTATTATTATTATTATTATTATTATTGTAACGACGTTCTATACGCGTACACGATCGTCGTAAACTTAATTTTGAACTTATTATTATTATTATTATTATTATTATTACTATCGTAATAATATTATTATATCATCTGCCAGCGTTTGACTGCGGAGGAAGAGTCAGAATTCGAATGTTTACAATATACATAATATTATATTAAGAGGATGTCAGCAAACCGTTTGTTTTCTCTCTCTGGCCTACTCACAACATAGACAAAACGCATTAACGCAGAATCATTTTTTCTATATTTTTATGTAATCTTAAAATGTAAAATCACCTATAACAAAAAACAAGGAGAATAATATTTTTGAGGCAATGACATACTATCGATTTTATATTTTATTGTTATTTCACTTTGTATTCGACTTTCAAAATAAACAAAACAATTTTGTAAATTTAAATTATGTTTAAATTGTTTGGAGACAATATTTAGACAAATTGATACGCCATTCCCTCAAAAATATTATTCTCTATCTTTTTTGTAATAGGTGATTTTACTCTAAGATTATGTCTTAAAAACATAGAAAATATAATTCTACGCAAATGCGTTTTGTCTACGTTGCGCGTGGGCCAGAGAGAGAAAACAAATAGTGCGCTGACATCCTCTTGATATTACGGACCCGGATCGAATCGCCTCGAGTGCCGAAAATTTTGGATCGCAAAAATAAAAACGAAAACACAACGATAGCCGACAACAATCGTGTTATTTGAGACCTGCGCCCACGACGTCACCTTGGCGGCGGTCGAAGAATATTAGCGTCCGTAATATAATATTATATCGTGCTCGGAACAAAAATTGGGAGCGACACGTCATAATAATAATATAGTTATACGAACCTATCGTACTTGGTTATATAGAATATAGTTGTGTTTTTAATTATTAAATTTCGTAAACGCATTAGTCCGACCGGGGTTATCTGCTCGGGGTTTTGTAAGATATTTTATTTTTTCAAACCCTATATATCGTTCTTACCCTTTCTAGAGCGAAAAATAGATTTTTATATTGCTAGTCAAAAAAAAAAAGAAACCGTAATATCCGAATCGATGTATTGTTATTAGTTTTTGTCTCGTTTGAACATGCCCTCTATATATCGTCCACATCGGGTATAATGCACCGATAATATTATTATTATCGTCCCCGTCGGCGGGGATGATTACGAGGACCTAAGTATTGTTTCTCTATATTCTCGTTTTGAAATTCGAGCACACTTGAAACGAAATCGTATTATTTTCAACGATCCAAATTCGGAATCCTGTAGATTTGATCTACGTTGTTCGGAGTAAAACGTGTAATGATCGAATGCGGGGTGAATTAAATCGTTTAAGTTTATTCTCACCTATTGCATATTTTGCTCCGATTATAATGTTACCCTCCCTCCAAATCGCGACAATATTATGTAAATGTCTAAATCCGTATTATATACCTGCCTAATCGTTCTTTTAATATTGTAATCGAACCGATAGACTTATGATAGTAAATAATTCATATTAGTCGTACCTACATTGGTTTTCGGTATATTATTATTGTATGAGCTGCGTAAGGTAAGATTATATATTGGATTTTTGTGTGCTACGTTAAATTATAATATATGATTATTATATCGTAGATTCCTATTTACCGACGTCTAAGGGATGGGTTTACATGTAATAAATATTACTTAAATGGTATTTTTTTTATCGAACATTTAAACTATCGATAACTCATACAATTTAATATTTATACACAAATCACGTGATGTTAAGAGATAAAGCCCAAGGATAAAGTTATTATAACCTAACCTAGCTATATATATACCTTAGCATTATAAAATACGTTGAATGTATCAACAATCTATAATTTCTCTATATTTACGTATTATAAACATAATATTATATAAATTGGCCTTATAATATTTATTGAGACATTGAGTCCACCATTTTTGAAAGCTTAAATCAATTAAAAGTTTAAACGCATAATTGTGTGTATAAAATAATATTTTTATGTTACAATTTACACCCTCTACACTTGGAAGAAAAATATATAATTAGAAGTATATACACTGTAGTAGTGTATAAAGTTGTTATTAATGTCATGTCTTTGTCGGTGATCAATGATCTCATTAAAAAATATATTTTCAGCACGTCATATTTATTAAAAATGTTAAAACGTTGAATTCGAAATTATTACTGCTCCTATTAGTCAAGTGTAATAATATTTGTCATACAATTATACAAATTGTATTATTTTAAGTAACGTTATAATAATTTATAACGTTAAATTATTTCGATTTCGGGAGAAATGTATTTCATATATATTAGTTGCATATTATTATCATATTATCATATTATCCAAAATTAAAACTGTACCTAATAGTGTCCCGCGTACGTGCAATGTCTAAATATACTAAATAGTTATATTATTTTTTACGATAATAATAAATTAGTGGTTTATAGCGAACGTGTAACATAATGATATGTTATTTGGGTTTGAATTCAGCACTCCGGCTATGTGCAATATAATTATTAACTTTAAATCTCCATTCAGCTAACGACGTTAATATACTATTACCGAACGGTATATGTGCATAGGTGGTATACGAAGGTACATGTACCTAGGTTCGTATAAACGCGTAATACTTATAGGTAGGTGCAGGAATTATGAGCGAACCGTTTGCATTCGGTCTCGTCCTAATAACGAGTGTAAAGACGCGTTACCGATGGCCGGTTGCAATGAACGCAAGAAAACACGAGAAAATAAATAATCGCTTGTTTAGCCAGTGCTAAAGAAATTGTAGAACTTCACATCCTCGTGCAAGTGAAAAAATGTAAGTACCGGTTTTTTCGGACGCTAATATCCGTTTTGCTACAATTAAAATTCGATAACTGACATTTTATTATAATACCTAGAATAATAAAATTAATTTATTGGATTTTTTCAGATTTATCGGACTAGTCGTTTAAATATACCTGATGTTTAAAGTATCAAGGTGCTTAATATAAACGAATACAAAGAATAATATCTTATATTCGATTTAACATTGTTTTCATAATTGTCTATATTGGGTTTAGGGTTATCGAACTTTCAAACATAAATTACAATGATGCAATGCAAGTATCCATATTATGACTAAACGCGTGGATGGATGTGTGATGTGATCGTCCACCCTACTCGAATACTCGATAATGATGGATCATAATAACATTGGTATAAAAACATTATCAGATGGTTGGATGGTCACTGTGTCTTATGATTTAATAGCAAAATTCACACCGTACATAAAACAATAAGTTCCACTGACCACCATTAACCAATCATACCTGGTTGCACACACGATTTGAAATATTTTAAATTAATCATTGTTATATAATACCTATAACTCGCAAGTCGCAATCATTGCATTAAACAATGATAATAATATCGTTTATAACAAATAACCTAACCACATAACCGTTGTAATCATGGTTTCTAATATTTTTGGAAAACACACATTATGAAATTATTCATCAATCTTAATTTTTTTGATGCGCTGCACATTTTGAAATTTGAATAGGACTAATATATAGAGGTATAGGTAATAGGTGTACTATACAACTGCAAGGCGTAGGATATTGATAAAGTTTCGTATATTATATGATATTATATTACAGATCGATTGAATAATAATATTCGTCAATAAATCGTTTCGTTGTTTCATACTGTAGGTAGGTATACACTAATAATAACGTAAATCGTTATGAGTCGATTTCGAACGGGCAGGCGAGCGTGCAGAGTTCAAGACCGTGAACGACAAAACGCGCCGACGTCTATATATAATATTATTATTATCATATATTATAAGCGCCATGTCAGGTCGGTGTTTGGATTTTTTGTTGCGGTCGGACCGGAAGTTTGGCGATCGGCCTATACGTGGTGGCCGGTGGCTGATGGACCTGCGCCGTATCTGTGGTCTTTCGGGTCGTCGTTGTCTGCTGCTGATGCTGCTGCTGCAGACCCGTTACAGCCGCCGAGGCTTGACCGGTGGCCGTCGACTTCTGCAACACGGACAACGGAATGCATTTCGATCATCGACTGCAAATGCGCTGCTGCAGCAGCTGCAACGGGTGGTGCAGCGTGGCTCGGCATGAGGAGGAGGAGGAAGAGGAGGTGGTGGCGGCGGCGGCAGGGACGTACAATTCACGCGTGTAATTTGGCGAATATTCGTATACAGGAGAATTTATTTATTTTCCGTGTGAGAGGAGATTCAGACATATTTTGTAGATGGCATTATTATTAGTATATATATAGCCATATATAGGTACCTTTGATACATTGACTTCTGATTTCTGAAAAAGTGTTGCAGAATGCAGATAGGTAGGCGTATTGCAGAATGTTTGCACCCTAGCGTCTTTAGTTAACAAAACACTCAAATGTACACTCCTCGTACCTATATGGTACGTGTAAAATTCATACAAATCATATGAGTATTATCATACCTCGGCACGTGGCAGTGTAGTATAATTTTTCAAAGTATAAAGATTAGATATTAAATACTGCACTCTATACATTAATTTTAAAAATATAGATGTTTAACCCCTAAGCGTGAATAGTATATTTTATTTGAATTCAATTTTTTTTTTGTTCTTAGCTCATCCCTAATCAAACATCTATATACGCGGAGATTTATGCACTGTAATACTATGTATGCTGTATAGGTACATTATACAATATCGAGCACGTTTATTATTTTATTACTATGACATCAATCCTCACTATATGTAGTCTGTAAGTATGTTAATATATTATGCATGCTCTCGTACATTGTATGTCATGCTACAGTATGTTTATAGATAGCTCAGATACATCATACAAGGTTTTATATTCCCCGGGCTTAACTCAAAAATACTTAAATACGCTACGATAAATGTAAGTAACTAGGTATATGCGGCATACATAATATAAACAAGTAACAACAATAATTTTAAAATACGTTTGAAATCGTTTTTATATAATATGCTTTATATTTGTATATGTCTTTATAGCTATAATACTTCTGTTCGCACTATACGCATTATGTTACTACGACGTAAAAACATTGAACGTATACTTAAAAATAAACCAACGCATAAAATTGAATACTTATTATTGTTTCTGTTTTACTATTTTAAAATTAGAAATGCTACTTTCAACACGTAGTTCAAATAGTATATTATTATATAATATTTCTCTCCGTTAAGATTTTTTCAGACTCGCGGGGTATTATTATGGTTATAAAATTATACGTTGGAATGTTTTAGTTTAGATTTACATTTTGGATTATTCTTGTTATGTATTATAATTTGAAAAATAATTTTCATATTATTTAAAATAGGTATTGTATATTTTTAATAAATAAGTACAATACTCTGATTCCTTGATTTATGATTGTGGTTTAAATAACCGTTATATTATGCTAGGTGATTCACCAAGCATGCTCACTCCATTTTTTCCTTTGATAATGAATTTATTCAAATTCTGATTTTGGAATTTTTAACTATACCTATACTCAAAGACCATTTGTTAAAATTCTTGAATTTTACTTCTGATGAATTCACCTGTGTTTTTAAAATGAGAACTGTATAAATTATTTAGTGGATAATTGTTTTGAAAATTTTGATGTACTTAATTAATTCAAAATTCAAACAAGTAATTTCTCAGTTATTGAATGTCTGCACTAAGAATAATAGTCCTTAAAAATGGATTTAAAAAATATAAAATAAATGTAATATTGGATAGCATTGGATTAATACAACAAAACTACTCGTACAGTTTCAATTATAATACGTTAAAAGTTTCAGAAAAATTATTCACTAAATAATTTTTAGTAGAAAAGTGTAGTTCTCGTATTTTAAAAACAGAAGTTTGTATCTCCACAGGACACTCTCCTTAAGTAGAATAGATCATCTCAAGAATTTTAACATACGGTCGGTATGTATATTTGACAATTTCAAAAATCAGATTTTAAACAATTGCATTATTGAAGAAAATAAGGAGGTGTGCACGCTTGGTGAATCACACTGCAGTATATAAATATAGCTCGATACGTACGAAATATTTCCATATTTGGTTGGAAAATTGAATAGTAACTTGCAGGTATGTTAAAAAAAATAAAATATTATCAATAGAGCCCACTCTAGTAGGACATAATAAAATATTTGCATGCGTATACATTAGCATATAAATTTACTTCATCCCCGTGGAGAACGACACCTCACGAATGTTCGCCGAATACACTATTTCCGTGAATTATACAACTACAAATTATTACGCTATAACTCGTATACTGACCTGTGGTAGTACGCCTAGCATTTTCAGCGATGGAGGTACGCTTAGAACTGACGGAACGGACACATGGCCAAAGTCCACCGTGAAGGCCTCGCACCATATTCCAAAGTGACCGATATCGAATATGGTAAGATCGCCCGGTAAAGTCAGTACGATGGTCTTGCGATCGTACCGACGCAAAGGCACTTCTTTTCCATTCTCGTCCGCCACCCTAATGCCCTGCGGAGTCGGTTTGTCGCCGGCGCCCACCCAGAACTTGGCATCTAAAATTAAATCGTTATGGTCCAAGTTAACTTTTACACACTATATTATACGCGTCGTGGTATTTATTTGTTTTTATTTTTTTAGCAACATATAATAACATTATATTATGTACTTCAACGGCGAAAACAACTTTTCATAATAGGATCTCATAGTTGGCAACTGATATGCTTTCGAGGAAAAACATTTGGAAATACATTCTTTCTCCTTTTACCAAGTATTGCAGTACACTTGGATCGTTTCAGTGAAATATACGAAAGTTTAAAATAGTGTACAGTTAAAGTCACACAAAAGTAATTTTTTTAAATGTTTAAACTAAAAGCTTAATGCGTGACCATGGTATGTGAACTGTTGTTTTCCCCTTTTTCTTTGCAATATAGCAATATGAAATTATGAAAAAAAGATTAAAATACAGTTTTAAAATGTTAATTCACTTTTTATGTAAATGAAACATTACACAACCACAATATGGTTCAATATTTAATATTACTAAAATACGAATTAAATCAAAAGGTTTAATAAGGTCATATAAATTAATTCAATTATTTTATAATGAAATTGTCTGAATACTAAAAGCAAACCCATTTATGTCAAGGTAAGAACAAATTTAAAATCAATAATTATTTTATGTCAATAATAATTAATTGTTACCTATTATTGTTGTTGTAATATGGTTAATTGTTGTTACCTGGTGCTTCACCATCATATGAAAATCCCGGTATTAGCAATGTCTGTGCATCAACTACGACGATGTTTTCTGAAGAAACTCCATGAATTCCAGACAAGCTGTCGATTTTTTGTGGTTTCGGGTAATCCAGATTTTGAGGTATTTTTACGTCACCAAAATTAACCTTTTAAAATGAAAATATTGAATAAGATTAGTAGCTTGATAACTTCTATAGCCATAGAAACCGAAAAATATATAATATGGACAAGTATTCGTATAGGTTTCTAAAACTTGTACTATGTAGTAAATCCTAAATTATCTATGGAACAGTGAAGTATCGACAAACCAGAAAATTTGAAGATTTAACCAATTGACGACTATAGAAATAGGTAATCATGCAATATTTCGATTAATAGATTTAATTTATTTATATTTACTAATAAAGAGTATAATGACGATATTATTATTATTATTATTGAATAATAATTTTGAACAACCGTATTACAGTGATCATTAAGTAAGTACTTAATCGTTTATTAGATGGACGGTGTAAATCAATCAAAAGTATATAGAGATTATAAAATAAAAAAAACTTGGAATATTCGTTATTAAATGCGCTGTTCCGTTAAGTGCTCGTATAATAATTATTTCAGAGTCAGCCGTCGGCGGTGGCCGTCAGAAGGTCGAAGGTAAAACGATTTGTTAACATGTGTGGTGTGCCTTTCTACGCGGCGATACGCACAACGCACTCGACATTAAAAATAGTAAAAAAATAATAATGCACTGTATAGGTACGACATTTTAATTTTGCTCATTACTTTTTCTTTTTTTTCCATCGTAGGTAACATAATAATATCATAACCGGCTCGTCGTTTGGGCGGTTGTTAACTGTTGGAACGGTGAATTAAACAAGTGACCGAGAAAGCACCTCACAATTACGGCCGAGTGTTATTTATTTTGTTTTTTTTTTTTCGATTTGTTTCATTAAGTCGACTTCGAGGGCCTAACACGGTATATAATATACGCGTACCTATACTGCTGCACACACGTACCTATATACATACGCGTATGAGTTAACCGGAGAAAGTGGTCAGGCCCGTCTGCTACCGTTAGGTACTATAATATACGTTTGCATATTATACTCCGAACGGATATGCTTTTATCACGATAATCCGTACCCGTACAGAAATAGTGTGTACGGATAGTACCTATATACGAGCGGTTTCTCCTGCAAATGATTTCGATACGAATAGTGAATACCAAACTTACACCATACGATAATATTATAATGTACACACATATTATGTATTTATGTGTGTCGTGTGTCGTGTTTTCGTGTGTTTTCGTGTGCATGCATTACTTGAGACATGTGCGAGTATTAATTTGTGAGTAAATGTGCATAATATAAATAAAAAGCTCTTCCTATATATTAGTCGTGTAGGTACTCAAAACTGGGCAGACGACGACGACAGACGTGCCGGCCGAACTCGTTATTTCGTCTGTAATATTATGCACTCACCAAGAAGTCTTCGCACCAAACGTAAAACCACTTGACGTCGTGCAGTGTCAAACCCTCCGGCAGAGTGATTGTCAAGTGTTCATTCCTGTACCGTTTCAGCGGGTTGGTTCTGCGGCAAGCAAAAATAAAAATCCGTACGTAAAAAGGGTAAATTTTTTTCGCGCGTGTAGAAAACGCATATAATAATAATAGTGCTCACGATGCTTTCTCGTCACGAATCCTGTACCCGTTGACGCCGGGTTGTTTGCCGTTGGATCCGTAAAAATATGCGGCTGAAAACACGCGTATAACATTATTATAATATGGTCGTGTGTATAGACTTTAAATTATGATATCGTTATGATAAATAATAACAATTATTACATTTCATAATATAATAAACATTTTTTTAATTTGCTATTGAGCCCGACCTACAACTTAATTTATACTAAAACAAAAATAATTGTTTTATCCATCAACGATACACGCATAGATAATAATATTACGCTGTCGACGACAGTCTTTGAAATATGTTAGCTGATAAATGTATTTTATAGCTGAATAAATAATAATGTAAAATTGCACACTGTATATAATAATTCCGAGCATTGACAACGCACCACTTAAAAATGCATAGCTCGAAAATTTCATTGGCTTGTGCATTTCAATCAATACGTCAACATACATCAGTTAATTTTAAATTAAATAATTTGTATACGATAAACATTATTATAAAATTCCCCCAAAAAATATAAATATAAATAATATTTCGTAAAAATATAAAAGCTGAATATATTTATCCTATTTTAACGTTTTTGTGAGTTAAAATCTCTGTGCAGATTATAAATTAAGTACAGTACAGCACCAATTCAAACTTGATTTTTTTTATCAATTTAGATACGTATTTCATACAAGTAGTTTGTTATATGTCCAATATGGGCTAAATTTAGTTTTTAACGCTTTCCGTTATAATTATAATATCCGAACTCGTTGTGAAATGATGTCAACTACACAGTAAACAGTATAAAGTAAAATGATTACCTGGTCCCTCGCCGTCATAAACGAAATTCCTGATGTGCAATGTTCTAGCATCCACAGCATACACGTCTCCACCCAAACCATGATGGTAAGACTTCAAAGGGCCTAAGTATTTTCCGTAATATTCTGCAGCGCTGGTTACAACTGAAATAAAAAAAAATTACAATTATACCCAATGAATGTATTTTAATGAATATCGTTTAATTTAAACACAGTGTATTCTACATTATCAGAGATTTTTGAAATTTAAAATTGATAACACGTCTTGTAAGAGACTTAATATTGTTCAAATATAATTCGAGTAGGTAGGACCTATATGTACATATTATAATTGTTCACAATTTCACATTAATATTTTTATCCGATGAATTGTGATTACACAAAACAACTTAAATATCCATCATCGCCAAAAGTTTACTTAGCGTTTTACTATAATTTAAAAATAAAAATACCAGTGTACCTATTTCAATATAAAACCAGTACTTCTATTGTAGACAACTTTCTGTGAATGCTATAGTTATTTGTATTATTATGTTTATTCATAATGACCGTACAAGCGTATAGTGCACGTGGCATTATAATATCTGTCAATGATTATAGTTCAAGGTTTGAATTGCATAATGTTCACAATTAAAGTGAAAGTGTAAAAATTTAGAAAGGAGAGTTTCAATAATGATCAACTTAGAAATATAAAAAAAAATTTACTTTAAAATATTGTGGTATTTATATTTGTTACTCATATGCTTAACAAGTTATAACTGCACTCTGCAGTCGCGTGTTGCTTTGCGCTGGACTGTAATACGTTAACACATTAACACGAATGAGTATAACTCTTGAAAGCTAATTTGAAATGAAAAGCTAACAAACGACTATAGGTAAAAGTTAATAAATTATTGTTATTTTTCGGCACTATACATAGAATGGAAGTTTTTTTTGATGAACGAATTTTCTGATGAAACGCAGTGATATTTAAAAAACAAATTATACAGTTTCAATAGGATACTAATCATATTTGTTATATTGCAAATATAGAATAAGTATATAACTTAATAACTGTAAGTACCTATACATTTTCGAAATAACTTTAAACAACTAGATATTTCATTGTGATTTGTGAGGTGAGGCAAGTTTGTTTATTTAACTGATTTTTTTTTTTTTTTTGAGAACAGTTGATTTGTGTTTCATAATGGTATCCAAATGAATCGTGTTTGTTCGGACCTTGGTTATATCGAAAAACCCCTTGTCGAAATCAATACGTCATATCGTATTATAATATATATTTAATTGTATCAGCACTTGATTATTTTTATTGCTGAATATAATATAGTTAACATATTGCAAACGGTCCATTGCGAGAAACAGGTCGAGAGTTAATATTATTGTTTCGGGTCAGGTCACATAAAAAAAAAAGATAATTATTACAAGATCATAATCCGCATACACCGTAGATGGCCCAATAACCTGCATACGTATCATCGTACATTATTCATGTACAGGACGTACACGACGGATACACATACCTACATACATACATACATAGGTACATATATACATACATACATAGGTACAAACGATAAATACATATATTCATACGTATAAACACGACGTAGCGTGGATGAACGTGTTTCACTTTGTTCAGTCGGTAGTCACGATAAACAATTATCGCCCACATTTTCAATTAGAGCGGAAGAAAATTTTAATTACCAGTCTCGTGTACCTATGTAGTGTTTTGATATATAACGGATTTCATCGAGACCGCGACACGAATGCGGTAAAAAGTAAAAAATGAAAAAAAATAGGGGTATGCGTTTATAATAGGTTACTTTGCTGTTGGCGCATAGATTACAATATAATATGGGCGCTTGTGTGCGTGCAGCATAGAAGAGTCGAAGTGCTCTAAAAGGGGCTGCCAGGTATTGTGGGACGAGCGCCAGGAGGAGGGTGGGTAGGCAGCCTCCTCCACGATGCATTTGCGTCGTGGGACTTTTACGTGTCACCTCGTTCGGAAACGCTTTTGTAGTCGTCGGCAATTTTAATCATGTCAACCTAGCATATAGAATAGAGAGGAAAATCTGTTGACCTGTAAAGTACCCGATTGACTTTTCTATTACACACAACACACACTTATATACACACACACACACTGCAGCTCCTTATTTCTAAAGAAACTTCACACTTTTTTTACGGATCGTATATATCCTACCTTCGTTTGGTTGATCGTATTCAATCCGATTATTTATATATCGAATGGGTCGCCGTCGTGAGGGTTACCAAAGAAGTGCCTCGAGTTTTTTTCTCCATCCGTCCACCAAGTTGCCATTTTTTATGTAGATACGAGTAGGACGAATATTTTAATCGTATTAATTGAAAATCGATCCAAGTCCAAGATATGTTTGCACGAATAACATCGAAAGATGAATAGTTTATTACGTACGTACTTTACTTTTATCTTTATACTTTATGTCCATTGTTCTATTTATTATTATTATTGTTATTTTTGTTTCGTTATTATTATATACATATACCATCATATACATAACCATGATGATGATAATAATAATAGCAGCAAACGGCAGTGAATTGCAAAAATTATCATAACAATAGGAGTTTGATTTTATGTATTCTTCATTACATTTCGACGATGCTCGAAATATTAGTAGAAAGTCGACTCGCGGGCGCCCGAATAAGGATAGGTAGGTACTTTTTGTAAACGACAGAGTCGTGTACACCCCATATGCACACGATGTATTTTGAACAAAAGCTGTATCGATAAAGCTGAAATAGAACGATTCCAAACTTGGGCATCATCGTCATATTGTATCCCAATATGATTTTGAATAAATTTCAAATCGAAATCGAATTTTAATTCTTTTTTATTGTGATGGTTATTGTATTTACCCGGTCAAAACGTACACAATGCAATTAGTAAGTCATGGCGGTCTACTGTAATATTATGTATAGTTTATATCTACAAATAATGAAACATAAACGTTATTGTTGAAAAAATCGGTTTGTATTAATTATACACGTATTTCATTATCAAATTTAATTATGTATTTATGTAACATGGTAATGATAATAACTACTCTGATACGGTTTACATTTTGAAGTGGAAAAATAATAATTATAATTTGTAATAATTATTCAATTTTATGCAAAAACAAATTGTATATACATGGTATTATTACTCTTAGTACACAATCTGTATAATTATATAGTTTTGTTATTCAATTTAGGACAGCCTAAATTAAGACTAATTAGAGCAACTATAATACATATAATTCATATTTTCAGAAAAATACTTTTTTAGAGAATTTGAACTCAAGGTATATAATATTATATTAATTTCCGATTGAAAATTAAAAATGAACACGTTTTAAAATGTTTAACAATAAATAAGTCACATATCGCACAACATATATTATAATGATATTATCAAAAAGTATTAAATGTAGACTGTAGATATTAGAAAAATATACTGCTAATATATTATTTTCTGGTACCTTAATTAATATAGTATTGGTTAATGGTTATTGACTACTCGTGAATCACGCGTGGACCATGCATGTAACTATTGAGATGATTTATATTTGCCCAACATTATCTATAATTATTGTGGTTCAAGGTGTGGATTTTTGGTTTTTGTATTATTAATGTAATATAATGATGATAATAATAATATAGAATCGATCGAAAATCAAAAGCACCAACACGACATTAAGATAATATAATATTCAACGACCAGTCTAAATATTGTTACCGTTAAATGTTGACTCGGTATCAGGTTGAGACCACGAGCACTATTATATGTCCAAACATATTATAATACCTACCATTAGCGTTAAAGAAATCTCATCTCGGAGAAGGTCGTTTGCAGAAACTCCCAACACATTTTAGATGATCGATTCGCTCGCGTAATATAATACAGATTGTACCAGCGAATTCAATCCTTTGGCATTTGCGATGGCTTCGAAATATTTGGAACGACGAAAGTTTTTCTACTTCCGATTGGAACACACACGTCGACTACGGTGAATATTTTTTGTCGCCGTTCGATATAATATTAATATTACTGCCAAGGACGACGGCGGTGGTGAACGGGATATTTTACGACTTTTTTTTTCTTGTTATTAAATACAGAGTATCGTAATAATAATATGGTCCGGTGACAGCAGTCGGTCGTATAAGTTTCGAAAGTGCGAGGGCGATTAAATATGAAAAAAAAAAACAGTTTCTTTCCGATAATGATTTCATTATCGCATGTGAAGGTGTGTGTGTGTGTGTGTGTGTGAGTGTGCTATAATTATATTATAATATGTTTATATATATATACTGCAGACAAACCCGTATTATGAAAGGCGTGCTCGCTGTGACATCGACAAATGTGTCTACTGCAGTCTACGTCATATTATTATTATTATATTGCACGAAGGTTTTAAGATCAACCCTATATGACTCCTAACAATAATTTGGTTAAGTAATTTGATGTGTCAGAAAACTAATGCGCAATCTTCAGCGGCGCAACGAGATGAGGTCACGTGCCAAGTTTCATAAGAAATTGGTAGTTGTTCTCAAAAGATACGCAGATAATTCGAGAAAAACTTTTTTGGTAACATATACTGCTTTAAGAAGATAATAATATAATATCAACACAGCCCTCCCATACCACTGTTTTATAATAATAATTTATCACAATACATATTATATTTATAATTATTGTGTTCGACAATAAAATCAATAAGCAAAAAACTGTTTATCGTTATCACCTCCACAAAAAATACAATGAAATTAATATGTCTAAATTACTGCACTATTAGGTACATATCACGTGATTTGAAACTTATGAATATTAACTGATAGCTAGAAGCTACTGACGGTTTATCCTCATCCATTTTAACTTCTCTGAAATGTTTATAGCTAATATAATCGGGCCTGCCGAGTACGATAGAAAAATCAGCTGATTCGTAGACCTACTCGGAGGAGGGTCTCAAAAATCAACTGACTTTAGCGCTCAGCCACCAACAGCAAATGATTTAGAAATAATTAAATTATGTTTAACAAATCGGTGGGTGAAAATTTAGATTCTAACATATAAAAAACAATAATAAATATTAAAAATTAAACAATTTATAAGCACTTTTATA